ACAACCTGCAGAAGTTTCAACATATTTACTAACATTAGAATTGATAAGGATCTTCGATTGTTTCTACAACCTGCAGAAGTTTCAACATATTTACTAACATTAGAATTGATAAGGATCTTCGATTGTTTCTACAACCTGCAGAAGTTTCAACATATTTACTAACATTAGAATCGATAAGGATCTTCGATTGTTTCTACAACCTGCAGAAGTTTCAACATATTTACTAACATTAGAATCGACAAGTATCTTCGATTGTTTCTACAACCTGTAGAAGTTTCTACATATTTACTAACATTAGAATCGACAAGGATCTTCGATTGTTTCTACAACCTGTAGAAGTTTCAACATATTTACTAACATTAGAATCGACAAGGATCTTCGATTGTTTCTACAACCTGTAGAAGTTTCAACATATTTACTAACATTAGAATCGACAAGTATCTTCGATTGTTTCTACAACCTGTAGAAGTTTCAACATATTTACTAACATTAGAATCGACAAGGATCTTCGATTGTTTCTACAACCTGTAGAAGTTTCAACATATTTACTAACATTAGAATTGACAAGGATCTTCGATTGTTTCTACAACCTGTAGAAGTTTCAACATATTTACTAACATTAGAATCGACAAGGATCTTCGATTGTTTCTACAACCTGGAGAAGTTTCAACATATTTACTAACATTAGAATCGACAAGATCTTCGATTGTTTCTACAACCTGGAGAAGTTTCAACATATTTACTAACATTAGAATCGACAAGGATCTTCGATTGTTTCTACAACCTGGAGAAGTTTGTTTAATAATTATAATAGTACACAGCTGCTCTTTGCGTTAACATTACATTTATTTTTTATATTTTCTAGTGGCAGGTAAGAAAATACGTTGAGAAGAAAATATCTGTTTAGGTGACCTTGTCCCACTGGTAAAAAAAACAAAAAACAATTGTAAACTACTCAGTAGCTCTACATAAAACTTTACCTACACTAAAGTAATGCTATATGATTTATAAAAACAATTGTCACTAGTAAAGAAATACTCAGGAGATCTATAAGATGCATGTTTCAATATTGAAGAACAAAATGATCTGTAAGAGAATTGATCCACTAATAAAGAAATACTCAGGAGATCTATAAGATGCATGTTTCACTATTGAAGAACAAAATGATCTGAAAGAGAATTGATCCACTGATAACGAAATACTCAGGAGATCTATAAGATGCATGTTTCACTATTGAAGAACAAAATGATCTGTAAGAGAATTGATCCACTGATAACGAAATACTCAGGAGATCTATAAAATGCATGTTTCACTATTGAAGAACAAAATGATCTGTAAGAGAATTGATCCACTGATAAAGAAATACTCAGGAGATCTATAAGATATATGTTTCACAATTGATGAACTACTAAGTGATCTCTAAGAGATTCGTTCCACGAGTAAAGAAATACTCAAGAGATCTATAAGATATGTTTCACAACTGAAGAACTACTAAGTGATCTGTAAGAGATTCGTTCTACTGGTAAAAAAATGCTGAGGATATCTATGAGATGTATGTTCCACTATTGAAAAGGAGTGTTCACTAAATACGGAAGGCAGAAGCACTAATAATAATTCAAATTCTTGTTTTTGTAGAAGATGGCACAGTGGTTCTCTTTAACCAATCTTCTGATGTAGAATGTAAGTGCTTTATGGCTTAAATCT